GATTACAAGTTCAAAGCCAGCCTCAGCAACTTAGTGAGGCCCTAAACAACTTAGCAAGACCCTGTCTCAAAAAAATGAAAAGGTTTGGGATATGGCTCAGTGGCTAAGTGCCGCTGGGTTCAATCCCCAGTACCAAAACCAACCAACCAACCAAAAACCTACAGAATCCATGGTGATGTCATTTCTGATATTAGTAATTTGTGTTTTTTTTCTTTTTTCCCCCCAACCAATCTAGTTCAGGGTTTATCAGTTTTATCCATCTCAAAGAACTATGTTTTGGTCTTGTTGATTTTCTCTACTGCTTTTCTATTTTCTATTTCATTTTTTCTTTGGATTTTACTACTTCCTTTTCGTTTGTTTGCTTACTTTGGTTTTGATTTTTTGTCCTCTTTCTAATTCCTTAAGGTGGAACCTGAGGTATACTAGATTCTAGAACTTTCCTCATTTTTATTTTATTTTTTAAAAATATTTATTTTTTAATTTTAGGTGGACACAATATCTTTATTTTTATGTGGTGTTGAGGATGGAATCCAGTGCCTCAGACAAGCTAGGCAAGCAATCCAATCCGCCACTGAGCCACACCCCTGGCCCACTTTCTTCATTTTTAACATTAGCATTTAGTGCTCTAAATATCCCCTTAAATACTTCTTTACTGGCATCCCCAGAATTCTTACATATTGTGTATCAGTTTCACTCAGCTCAGTTTCTAGAAAAAATAATAAATATAAAAGTTTCTAATTTTTCTTTTGATTTTCTTTGACCCATGAGTTATACAGAAGTGGACTATTTTGCTGCTTATCAGTGGCACACCCCTGTAATGCTCCAATTCGGGAGATTAAGGCAGTAGGATCACAAATTCAAGGCCAGTCTGGGGAACTTAGCAATCTGTCAAATAATAAGAAATACAAAAGGAATGTGGGGGGCGGGGATTGGGTTGTGGCTTAGCAGTAGAGCTCTTGCCTAGCATGTGTCAGGCACTGGGTTCAATCCTAAGCACCACATAAAAATAAATAAATAAAACAACGATATTAAAAAAAAAAAAAAGGAATGGGGATATGACTCAGTAGTAAAGCACTTCTAGGTTCTATCCCTAGTACCATTCCCTCCCCGCCAAAATAAAAGTGTGTTATTTTGTTTCCAAATATTTTGGAATTTTCCAGGTATCTTTCTCTTATTATTTCTAAATTTTGTGGTCACAGAACATACTTTTTGTGACATAAATTGTTTTAAATTTATTGAGTTGTTATATTACAGAATGTTGCATCTTGGTAAATGTTCTATATGTGCCTAAGAAAAACACCAATTTTGCTGCTATCAGGTAAAGTGTTCTACAAATGTCTATTGGGTCAAAATGGTTGATAGTATTCCTCAGGTCTACTCTCTCTTTGCTGATTTCATCTACTTGTTCTTCAGTCATTGAGAATTTGAATTTGCTACTGTGAAGGTCTGTTTTTCCTAGCAGTCAATCCGTTTTTGCTTCTTGTAATGTGAAGCCCTGTTCTTGAGTGCATAAATGTTTAGGATTGTTATTTCTTCTTAATTAACTGACCTCTTTATCATTATAAAATGACCTTCTTTAATCCTGATAATATTCTTTGCTCAAAAATTTACTCATCTGCTCAGTTGAGATAAAAAAGTATTCAGGCCCCAACCTTAAACTCAGGGTCTCTGCAAGCTGATTGAAGTTCACTGCCAATTCCAATACAGTGAACTGCACCAAGAAAACACAGAGAAGGGGAACCCTGCCCAAATCTGATGATTCTTGAGGAGCTAGATATTCCAAGGAAGAGGAAAGTCCCATGCAAAAGATGATATACTGGATTGGGGCATGACAGATGCTAGGATTTTAACATGGCCCTCAAATTTCATGTGCTGGAAAGTTAATTCCCAAATTAAGTATTTGAAGGTTGATGGTATTTGGAGGTAAGGCCTTTAACTGGATCAGATGAGATTGTCAGAGTGGGACCCATGATGGGACTGGTAGCTTTACAGGAAGAGGAACAGAAACCTAAGCGGACACATACTTTCTCCGTCTTGTCATGTGATACCCTCCACCATATTATGATACAGTAAAGAAGGCCCTCACCAGATGCCACACAGATGCCAGCATTATGATCTTGGATTTCCCAGCCTCAAAAACCATAAATCAAATAAACTTCTGGTCTTTATAAATTACCCAATTCTTGGTATTTTGTTATAGCAATAGAAAATAAACTAAGCAGGGCTGGAGATATAGCTCAGTTGGTAGAGTGCTTGCCTAGCATGCACAAGGCCCTGGGTTCAATCCCCAGCACCATTAAAAAAAAAAAGAAAAGAAAATGAATTAAGAAGGTGTGGTATATCTGAGGTGCCCACAAACAAGGCCTTATGGCCAAAGGGCAGAGAGGGGACAGGAGACAAACTTTGACTAAGATGTCAGATCTGTTTTTTTTTTTTTTTTTTTTTTTTTCCAGGGGTTAAATTTGGGGGGCTTTTCCCTTTTGACCCATTTCCCCACCGTTTTTTTTTTTTTTTTTTTTTAATTTAATTTAAAGACAGGGTCTTGCTTGCTAAGTTACTTAGGGCCTTGCTATATTGCTGAGGCTGGTTTTGAACTTCTGATCTTCCTGCCTCAACCTCTGTCTCAGCCTCCCAAGCTACTTGTGTGTGCCACTGTGCCCGGCTAAGATGTCAGATCTTTCTGGCCACTGAATGAATAATACATAGAAGAAGAGTAAGGAAAGGAGGCTGTTCCTTTTGTGTAGGCATGAGATGGTGGTGGTCTGCAGTAGGCCAGTGGCAGTGAAGACGGCAAGGAAAGACAGGAGGTGGAATTAATAGGACTTCCTTCCTTGCCTAACAAATTGCATGAGCCTTCTAACTGGCTGCTTCTACTCTTGCCTCTCACTCCCTCCTGCCCCCATTCAGTGTATTCCAAAACAGAAAACGCATTGATCTTTGAGTCCTATGTCAGAGCAGTTCGCACTTTTGCTCAACATCTTCCAACAGATCCTCATGTCACTCAGAATAAAAGCCTGGGATGGCCAATATAATGTGGCCCTTGACCCTTCTCCTATTATTCATCCTTTGCTAGGTCTTCTCTAGCCACACTTACCTCCTCCAACAAACCAGGACCAGATCACCTGTAGTGGCATTTCTTTATTCAGAAATCCACTTGGCTCATGCTCTCACCTCCTTCAAGTCTTTGCTCAAAGGTCACCTTCTCAGTGATGCTTACCTGACTATCCTTGATGATACTGCATCCTGCTTCAAGTGCCCCCCCCCACAGTACTGATTCCCTTTATTCTGCTCTTCTTTTCCCCTCTAGCTCTACGAATTTCCAACATATTACATAATTCATTCTTATTATATGTAGTGTTTATTGTCTATCACATTTACTAGGGAAATTGCCATAAAGGCAGAGGTCTTTCTTTTGTTCACTGTCTCTAGAAGAGGAGACATACTTGTAGACAGACAGGTACAAATGGCTTAATTACCAGGCTGAATGTCGGGGCAGACACGGCATGCTGCCCAGGTTTCTGAGTCCAGGGACACAGAATTGTTTTGAAAGCAAAGGAGACCTCAGCTGGAAGCCAGACATGGGAGTCATCAACATCTGGGTGATGGTGGTGGGGTTGAATCCACAGAAGAAATCATACAAGAAAAGTAGCAATGGGACTAAGATGAACACAAAATTTTACAAAATGGTGGGAGAGGGAGGGGGCAGTTGCGTAGCTAGAAAGAAAAAAGTAGGGGTGTGTGGGTGGCACAAGTTTATTAGACTTTCAAGTAGGCGAGAGAGATTGAGTCAATAAAGACTGAAAGTGGATGATTGGATGTAGTCAGTAAAAAGTCATAAAAGGCTTTATGGGGGAGCCAACTCAGTGACTGATTAGAAGCTCAACCTGTAAGGTCAACAGGTGGGGGGCGGGGAGGATGGCTGAGAATAATAGCTTGGGCATTTATAGGCTGACAGACCTAAGGAATCCTAGGACAGGTCTTGCTAAGCCTCTGAACCACAACTGTCCCACGTTTAATATGGCGATAGCACCACCTAGCTGATCAACTTTGACGACTGATGGTTAAAAGAGATGACGAAGGAAAATACAGGGCGCAAAGTGAGTGCCTTAGTTTCATTTTGTTAATGACAGCATTGAGTTGGCAGCGACCCAGACACCGATTGAAATAGCCCAGGACCACTGTCCCCAGATAAGGACAGCAAAACCGTAGGCACAGAAAAGGACACCGGCATGCGGCGCTGAAAAGTCAATCCCTTGGCGCAGACGGAGAATACTCGGTCCCAAGATTAGGAGGATCTAATTAGCTCAGCCTTCTCCCCAGACCCCGCACACCTGACTGCCCCTCCCTTTCGTGGAGAGGCAAACGTTTCCCGAGGCGGGACAGGGATCACCTGCGCACGAACACGGCTTTGCCTACTCGCCGCAGTCGGGGTAGGACCTAGTCCTAGGCAACGGGGCCCACCGCCCCTAGCAACCACTCACCCGCTTTTCTCTTTCTATAGGCCAAACAATTTTCCTTTCTTTTTCTTATTGGTCCGCGTAACTTTCTCGCAACCAATCAGTGGCAGCCACGGGACCCAACTCACTCCCACACAACTCGAGGGGTGATCGTGGAGGGGACGAATTTCTGTTTTCTGCAGCCAGTTTTCCCAGAAAGCACCTTATTTGTCAGACTGTTGTGATATTCCTGGAACGAGACGCTAAGACATTTTATTTCTCTTAGGCCTACTGTATAGCCTGTCCCTTGTTCACTACCCCCTCCAAGTGGCACGGCCTGCAAAATGCTCCACCTCCCAGTGGCTCTGAGAGCCCGACTCGGGACTGGGTTGAGTCCACCCAGCGGTAGAGACCGTACCATCTGTGACTAGTAGGTAGGGGAACAACCACTTCCGTTACTCTCTTCCGCTCCGGCCACCTCTCTCACCCCTTGCTTAGCCCTATTCGGTAGGCACAAATCCCCGAAACGGCGGCAAAACCTCTGCTCCCAGCACCACGCAAGGCGCGCAGTGGGAACAAACAAAGGGCACACTTGGTACGGTCCACGCCGCGCCCCGCGCCGCCGGAAGTGAGGTGTCTTACCCCCGAAGTTCCGGTTCGCAGGGGGTGGGGAGTGTTGTTAACCCGAGCGGCTGCCGCAGTCGCGGAGATTGAGCGGGCTCGCGGCGCTGGGCTCCTGGTGAGTGAAGTGAAGTGGGCCCCGGGATGTGGTTGGGGTCGGGACCAAGACCTTCCTGTTAAGGTCACCGGGATCGGCTCGCCCCCTCAGTCCCGCCGCCTGCTTTCGGCCTGTCAGCTGGCCGTAGACCTCAGTCGCCGGCGCGGCCACGGAAGCTGGGCCCCGCCTGCGACGCTCACAACTCCTGGCGCTCACAGGTGCGCGGCTGCGAAGCTGACCCGAGTCCCTCTGTCCCGCACTGCACCCTGCTGGTCGGCCGTTTCTTAGTGCCCCGAGTTGATACAGCTCCGGGGGTTGGGGGGCGCCAGGGTTCCAGGCTGACGTACCTCGCCCGCTCCCGCGGGGCGCGCGTCCGCACTGACCACCCTGGCACAGCTGTCACCCGCATGGCTGCCTCCCCGGGCTGTGCCCCTCTGCGGCTTTGCTTCGCCCAGTTCAGGCCGAGCGTTCCCGCCCCTGGAGCAGATTTTTGCTTTTGCCACAAACCCCAGCACCTTCACCCTAGGGTCAGCGGTGGCAGTCCCCCCCACCCCCCACTGGCCCTCCAACAATGCTTCTTTTCCTCATTGCCTCCCCAGAGGAGGCGGCGGCTTGGCAGGCAGCGTGGAAAGAGCCCTAGATCTGAAACTAGACTGACCCAGGTTTCATATCAGTGTGATCGCTTAACCCCTTTGAGGCTCAGTTTCTTATTTGTGAAATGGGGAAAGGGAAACATGCTTTTCTTGATCTGATGGTTGTGATAGTGAAGTGAGATTTTACCCTCTTTCTCCCGTTGACGTTGTGCCAGGCACTATGCTAGATTTGCATAGGATGGGCAATACACGTTATTGTCTTTCCTTTCCCCACGCAGGTCTGCGGGCCAGGGCAATGTTCCGCACCGCAGTGATGATGGCGGCCAGCCTGGCGCTGACCGGGGCCGTGGTGGCTCATGCCTACTACCTCAAACACCAGTTCTACCCCACTGTGGTGTACTTGACCAAGTCCAGCCCCAGCATGGCAGTGAGTTCAGGGCTCAGGGAGGGCAGAACTCCCTGGGAGGGAAGGAGGAGTCTGCCTAGGGCAGAGGCGGGGCTACAGGTCAGTAGGGGAGAAGTAGCCACTAGCTGCCTAAGTTTAAATAAACTGGTGAAGACTTGGGGAGGTTCCTGAATGATGAGCTCCAGGCAGAGAAAAGCAGAAAGTGACCCCAAACCATAGCCTTTCCCCACTCCTAGGTCCTGTACATCCAGGCCTTCGTCCTTGTCTTCCTTTTGGGCAAGGTGATGGGCAAGGTGTTCTTTGGGCAGCTGAGGGCAGCAGAGATGGAGGTAAGATGTTGTGGTTCAAAGATGAGGGGCAGGGTGTTGGGCAAGCAGAATGTCTGGATTCCACATCATCCCCTGCCCAACCCCTAGCACCTTCTGGAGCGTTCCTGGTATGCTGTTACTGAGACTTGTCTGGCATTCACCGTTTTTCGGGACGACTTCAGCCCTCGCTTTGTTGCGCTCTTCACCCTCCTCCTCTTTCTCAAATGTTTCCACTGGCTGGCCGAGGACCGTGTGGACTTTGTGAGTTGGGAGTGGCCAGTGGGCAGGCTTATGGAGCAGTGAGGGCTGGATTGGGCATATGGAGGACTCCAGCCTTCCTGATGGGTCCACTCTGCTCTGCTTTAGATGGAACGCAGCCCCAATATCTCCTGGCTCTTTCACTGCCGAATTGTCTGTGAGTGAGATCTGTGGAAGGGAAGGGAGGGAGCTGGAGGGAAGACAGGAACCATAGAGGAATGGAAGGTGAAGAGTCACTAGCCATGGAACTGTACCCCAGAGCACAAGCCACCCCTCAGCCTGCAGCTGTACAGGAAAGATAATTTAGGAAGTTAATTTGCATCATCTGTGCCCTGTTCCACTCCAGGGCTTCTTAACTGCTGGGCCTTATCTTTCTGCCTCCTCACCTGTAGGCTGCCCCAACAACCCACTGCCATGGCAAAACTTGAGTTCCCAGAGGGCTGAGATCAGTGGAGTGTGCCCACCTGACTAGATGGCTGGGCCATGGTGGGCTTGAAGGTGGGGTTGTCCTAGAGCAGAAGTTGCTATCAGGCCCTGGGCTAATCCTACCCTACCCCATTTGGGGGTCCCCACAGCCCTTATGTTCCTCCTGGGTATCCTGGACTTCCTCTTCGTCAGCCACGCTTATCACAGCATCCTGACCCGTGGGGCCTCTGTGCAGCTGGTGTTTGGCTTTGAGGTAAAACTGGCTTGGGAGTTTGGAGAGACAAGTCCAAGGTGGCACTGCATGTTACTGAGTAACCCAACAGACCCTTACTGAGCACCTGTTGTGTGGCCACCAGGGAACAGTGATCAGTCAGTCATGGTACCCCTCATACACTCCTAGTTGATGGCAGGAGGGCACAAAATAGGTTGCAGACAAGGCGTGACCTGGGCTCAGGGAAGTCTTCCTGAAGGCTGATGCTAGAGTTGGCTCTGCATAGGTGGATGGACAGGAGAGAATTAACTGGATGGGTTCCCCGGGAGGCGTGTCAGCATTTGCCGAGTGTCCACTGTATACCAGTCTTGTGCTGAGCCCCTGACCTGCATTTCTTAATCAGCAAGACAACGCTGCTATAAATAAATAGTTAATTCTGCATTTTACAGATGAGCAAGTTGAGGTTGAGTGAACTGCCTGAAGTCATAGTGAATTGGGGAGCTGGGAAGACCAGCTGTGTTCAGATCCTGTGCTGGTAACACAGCACCCTGCTGTGCTGGGGCCCTGGCACTGCAGAGCATGGCTGGATCAAGGGGAGCTGGTGTTTACATCCCCCTCGTGCCCCTCTCCCTCCAGTATGCCATCCTGATGACAATGGTGCTCACCATCTTCATCAAGTATGTGCTACACTCCGTGGACCTCCAGAGCGAGAACCCCTGGGACAATAAAGCTGTGTACATGCTCTACACAGAGCTGTTCACAGGTGAGGGCAACCTGGACCTCTCCTGACCCAGACCAGCATCTCCTATTCTACCTGCCAGACCCTGTGACCAGGTCTCTGCATCCTTACCCCCAGGCTTTATCAAGGTTCTGCTGTACATGGCCTTCATGACCATCATGATCAAGGTGCACACCTTCCCGCTCTTTGCCATCCGACCCATGTACCTGGCCATGAGGTGAGCCCAGCCCTGTCCCTTTAGTCTCCTAACCTGATCCCTCCCCCTCCCTGCATTTACTGACTGTTGTTTCAGGCAGTTCAAGAAAGCTGTGACAGACGCCATCATGTCCCGCCGAGCCATCCGCAACATGAACACATTGTAAGTGGGCTTGTCCCAAGTTCTCTCCCAAACACTGTCCCAGGTCACCTTGCTTTCAGCTCTGGTTCTGACACATGCTCTGCCATCCTAATCAGGTATCCAGATGCCACTCCTGAGGAACTTCAGGCAATGGACAATGTCTGTATCATCTGCCGAGAAGAGATGGTGACTGGTGCCAAGAGGCTGCCCTGCAACCACATCTTCCACACCAGGTGGGAGGGGCCCTGGGAACCTGTACATCAGATCACAGGCCCCTGGAGACCTGCTGACCACTACCTGGTCTTGATCCCTAGCTGCCTGCGCTCCTGGTTCCAGCGACAGCAGACCTGCCCTACCTGCCGAATGGATGTCCTAAGAGCATCTCTGCCAGCCCAGTCACCACCACCTCCTGAGCCTGCGGATCAGGGGCCACCCCCTGCCCCTCATCCCCCACCACTCCTGCCTCAGCCCCCTAACTGTAAGTATCCCTTCATTTGGCCATATGTTGGGTACTTTCCCAGAGTTGGGAATGGGAGATGCTGGGGAATCCAAGTCTCTGCCCTCCAAGTCTGGGCCAGAGAGGGTGAAAAGATGAGAAATAAATGATCACAATCACTGTAACCAGTGCTGAGCTCAGGCCTCTGGGAGCAGAGGATACAGCTCCCAGTAGCCAAGCTCCCTATTTGGGAGTGGGGTCAATATCAGTTCAATGGTCTTCTTACCATCCTGTCTTCTCTCTGCAGTCCCCCAGGGCCTCCTGCCTCCTTTTCCTCCAGGCATGTTCCCGCTGTGGCCCCCCATGGGTCCCTTCCCACCTGTCCCACCTCCCCCAAGCTCCGGAGAGGCTGCAGCCCCTCCATCCACCAGTGCAGGTGAGCCTTTGGGTACTGCAGCAGCTGCAGGGTGGCAGGAATGGATACAGAGACCCCACAGCACTGATTTCTCATTCTGCACTTCAGCAGCCCTTTCTCGGCCCAGTGGAGCAGCTACAACTACAGCTGCTGGCACGGGTGCCCCTGCCCCAGCACCTGGCTCTGCCCCAGAGGCTAGCCCTGCCCCAGGCTTTCCCTTCCCTCCTCCCTGGATGGGTATGCCCCTGCCGCCACCCTTTGGTAAGTTGGACCACCCTCTGGGATGTTCTAGAAGGTGTAGGGGGGTATCAGGCCAAGGTAGCCAAACTGAGCCTCCACCTCTTCCAGCCTTCCCCCCCATGCCTGTGCCCCCTGCGGGCTTTGCTGGGCTGACCCCAGAGGAACTGCGGGCTCTGGAGGGCCATGAGCGGCAGCACCTGGAGGCCCGGCTGCAGAGCCTGCGCAACATCCACACTCTGCTCGATGCCGCCATGCTGCAAATCAACCAGTATCTCACTGTGCTGGCCTCTTTGGGGTATGTCTTCATGGGGATATGGGAGCCACAGAGTGTTTGCAAGAAAGTGGGGAGCTATGTAGTTGCCAAGAAAAGGTCCCTCACCGTTGTTCTTGGCACGTCTCCCTTTATACCCCCTAATACCTACTTACTCAGGTCACCTATCTCCAGACATTCTCAGGGTCTCTGGGTGTTACTCCCAGTGCCTTTATTCTCCCACTCCAGAGGCACATCTGGAGCTAAGAAAGAGTGATGTTTATTAGTGAACTGACCTTGAATCTTACTCCTTTATATTTTTCTAAACTCAAGTTATTCCTAGCTTTAGCTCATCACCTAATACCTTACTGACACTAAGAATTGCCCCTGAATTGAAGAAACAGTTAATGCAAAGTTACTTGGCGGGGATTGCTGGGTACATGGCTGATTAAAGTCCTGGGTTCCATCCCCAGCACCATAAAAAAAGGAAAAATTAAGTCACTTGGAGCCAGCCTGATCTGAATTCAAGTGCTAGTCCCATTGTTCACTTGCTTTGTGATCTCCTTCACCTCATGAGAATAGTGGAGTTCCTGTTTACAGAGGTGACATGTACCAAGTGCCTTGCACCTAACAGTGACAACACAGGCTTGGAGGGAAGCCAGAGTTAAGACTTTAGCACTTTGTGATTATTCAGCAAATGCCCTGTGAAGTCCTGATGCCCCTGAGCAGAGACTGCAGGGGAAAAGGAGAGATGGGTCAGCAGTCCATCTCCAAGTGTTTTGAGAACACTTTGTGGCCTTTGAGTCACTCCACAGGAGCATCCATTCCAAGTGTGTTCCTTTGTGCCTGATAGTCACAGGGGCACATTGTCCTAGACTGTCCTGTAAGGCTTGACAAGAACAGAACAATCTGCCCAAGCTAGGTTACCAAGGCTGGGCCTACTTTCTGTCCCCTGTCTCTAGGCCCCCCCGGCCTGCCACTTCTGTCAACCCTGCTGAAGAGACTGCCTCTCCAGTGGTCGCTGCTGCCTCCTCTACCAGCATCCCCAGCTCTGAGGCTACCACCCCATCTCCAGGAGCCTCCCCACCAGCCCCTGAAACTGAAAAGCCTCCAGGTAGGTTTGATCAGCCTTTAGGGATATGGCTGGGGCTTCTCCGGGTTCCACTTCTGACTTCTGTATCCTCAGCTCCTGAGTCAGTGGGTGCCGAGGAGCTGCCTGAAGATGGAGAGCCTGATGCTGCAGAGCTCCGCCGTCGCCGCCTACAAAAGTTGGAGTCCCCTGTTGCCCACTGACACTGCCCCTGTCCTCACCCTGTCCCCGCTCTCTTGAGCAGCCCTCGCTGGAACAAGTCCTGCCACCAAGTGCCAGCTCCCTCTCTGCACCAGGGAGTAGTAACCCCAGCTCTGAGAAAGAGGAGGAGGCATCCCTGAGGCCAAGTGGAAAGAGGCTGAGTTCCCAGTCCAAGACTCCAGCCCTGAGGCCCAGGCGGGCATGGGGATGCTGGGTCAACTTCAGCATTCCTTGCCACCTCTTCAGCCCTGTGTTCTGCTGGGGCATAGCTGGAGCTGTGAAGGCAAAAGGTTCAGCCTCTGAGAACCCCCTTCTTTCCCATCCATTTCTGGGAGAAGGGGCAGACCCTCCAAGCCCTCCTTGTATGCGGGGTCACACTGCAGTGCCGAACAGTATTAGTTCCCATACCCAAGTGTGGACCCCAGAGGGGCTGGAGGCAGGCCAGGAACTTGCCCTGGCCCTCCTGCCAAGACTGGTACAAATTTCCTTTTCTTATCCTGATCTCCCCCAGAAGCCCCTTTGTGGTGGAGCCCCTTTGTGGTGGTGGCTATGCCCCCTGTGCCCTGTGGCATTTCCACGTCTTACTGGCAACCACACAACTCAGGGAAAGGAGTGCCTGGGGGTGGGGGGCAGGCGGGCAGCACTGAGGGACCCTGCCCTGCCCCTCCCCCAGGCCCTTTCCCCTGCAGCTTCTCTTAGGTGAGGCTGCCTCAGTCTCACCCTGTAGCCACTGCCCAGCCACAGCCGGGCTGAGGGCTAGTGTGCTGCTCCTTAACCACTGCAACCCAGAATCCAAGGAAGGCCACTTCTCACCTTGCAGAACTTAAGATTCTTAAGTTCAGAAGGATTGGAACTACTACCTTATTACCTGGTGGCTTTTGGCTTAAATTTTATCTTTTGAATTTGAATGCCCATCCCCAGGAAAGAGAAGCCAGAAGTACAGCTCCTCCTCTCCACTTTAGAACAGGCTCTGGGCCAGGCAGGGACCACAGGAGCCAAGGCCTGCCTGTCCCTTTCTTCCCCTTGGTTTTGTGTTACAAGAGTTGCTGGAGACAGTTTCAGATGATTATTTAATTTGTAAATATTGTAAAAATTTTAATAGCTTAAATTGTATATACGGCCAAATAAAAACTTGCATTAATGACTGGTGGGGCTTATGTCAGGATCAGGGTTGGGCTCCTTTTTTCTTACCAAGACTATGGACTTGATAATGGTCTATAATTTCCAGGAGTAGACACTTGACTATTGAACAACTACAAAGACATACCCATTTGCATATGGAGAAACTGAGCCCCAGAGAGAAATCAGTACCCTACCTTAGGTCAGAGACCAAGAGCCAGGATCCAAACACAGTCTTAGCCATTTTGAGGGACGGGGAGGAACCTCAGGTCTTTGACCTGGGTGACTCCAGGGTGGGGAAAGTGTGAAGGCTAGTTGACTATGGGTGGACCACTCACAGGAGTGAAAGGCCTGCAACTTCCTGCCTGCAGGTCAACAGGCTGGGAGGATGGGCTTGCGGCCAGACTGCAAGGAGCTGCTGAGTACCATCTTATGGCCTGGCCAGGCCAGCCAAAGCTAATCACTTGACTTCTTAGAGCTGGAAACCCAGTTAAGTCTAAGTGGTTTGGAATGGAGCAGGGACCAGGGCTGGGATTCCCACCTCTCCCTGGGCTACATGGCTATCTATGCTCTGGTGCCCAGCAATGCACTTGAACTTAAGGCTTTTCTCAGGACCCTGTGCTGAAGTCAACAGTGTTTTACAAACCCTCCAGGACCAAGCCAGGTCTGATCTACAGCAAAGGTTCAGGAATGCTCCTGGCAGTGAGCTCCCAGAGGGCTGAGGAAGGATGTGCCCAAAGGCTCTGCCCTGTGAACCCTCCCCCAAAGGGGGTTGCGCTGTCATTTCCAGCCCCAAATAACAGGCCACAGTGAGGGGAAGGACAGCAGATAATGTCCTCTCCTAGTTTGGTGGTTCAAGGTGGGTCTCTCATGCTTGAGAGCTTTCCCCTAATGGACACCTGTGCATAGGGACCTGTTTCCCTCTTTATGTAAGAAAGGCCTGGCCCCACAGCCTTTTAGCCCTTATACTCTGCCCTGTCCAAGCCCTTAACCCTGATTTTTGTATCCTGTCCCAGGGGATCCAATACACTTCAACTCCCAAGGTCCCCTGAACTCCAGTCTGTGGGGGACTATGCCATGCAGGTTGCTCAGGAGGCTTCAGAAGCCCTTCTCAAGGAGCCAGGCTTTAAGCTGCTCATCAAAGTAGCCCTTGACTCGAAGGGTACCAGTCACCTCATTAACCTGGGTGATAGGTGTCTTCCCCAGCAGTGGGCTCAGAAAATCTTCCACATCCTTCTGTAGGGCCTGGGAAAAGATGATAAATCGGGTCTGATCAATAGTCCATCTCAGACTACTGTCCCTTTAGCCCCCAAAAGTACAGAACCACACCCTGCTACCACCCCTTCCCTACACACTTACCCAGATATCCCCCTCCACTTTCCGGATCACAGTCATTTGGCGGTTGCCATGTGTGATGTCCTTGTAGACAGGGATGTTGTGCATTCGAGAGCGCCGCACGAAGTAGGGTAGGTTGGGTGGGGGATCTGTCAGTGATGGATATTGATAAGCCATTCATTCTAGGCCTCACCCAACAACAGTCAAGGCCCTTCCCCTCACAAAATCAGCAGAGGGTTATTGCAACCAATTGGACCAAGCCAACTACAGACTTCATATCAGGGCATCTCTTTCCTTCAGTTTATAGTCAGGACCAAATTGTTTATCCTGGTATCATGTAAGTGGTTTGGAATGGAGCAGGGACCAGGGCTGGGATTCCCACCATTCTGTTAAAACAGTCTAGTTCTAGATTAGGTACTTTAACTAATGGCAAGAAATAAATGAAGTCAGGGTCATGCCTCCCTGGATCTTTGGGTCCCCTCTCAGGTAATCCGTGCCCTTTTCCACTGGGTCAGGGTGGCCAAAATCAATCTCTGGAACAAAGGACTTACAAACACCTACCATATGCTGGGCTTTCCACTAAGTGTTTTATGTGCTGAGAAAATTATCTCTATTTTGCTGAAATTGAGGTTGGGAGAAATGATTAACTCAAGATCATACCAGCAACGAACAGCAGTATCAAATTCAAACCCTAAACTGCTTGACTCCCAAGCTGTGTTCTCAATTATGGTACATAGTCTGCTGGGGGAGAATATCAGTTCAAGCACTTGGTTTTCTCTCTATGCTTCATTTTTTTCCCCTAGGTAGAAAGACTCCATCCCAGCAGTGTGGATAGATGGGTACCCATGAATGGACAGCTCCACTCCTGAGCCCTTACTTGGGCACTAACCAATGCTAATCCTAAAGGATTTCTACATGAGTCCTGAATCCACTGGGGAGGGAGATGCTCCCCATCAGCCTTCAAACCACCTCACCTCTGGGAGGCTGCCAGCCACTAGGGGTGGGATAATGTTCATGCTTTGGGGGCTTTGGGATGCTGGTTGGAGGTAACAGGCGCTCCACGAAGTGATACTCATCCACAGATTCCACGAAGCTGGGGTAATCAGGTGGCCCCTGGGTCTGGCTCTGAGGCAAAACAAACAATCTCTCCATGGCTTACCCAACAACAGAGAACTTTATTAAGTACAGAAACGGAAACATTTCAAGCAGAGAGAAGAGCATAAATAAAAGGTGTGAGGCGGAAAGCACCAAGCTTCAGTTTCCCGGTGTGCAGGGTGTAGGTGGGACTGGACAAAGAAACTCAGGCACTCTGAACAGCATGCCTCTCTCAGGACTCAAATGACACTGTGTACTTCTGAAAAGCTAATTAGCAGTAAGATTGACCACTATAGCATTTTTCAGTATTTAAAAGTTGTCTCTGCACATTCTGTTAAAACAGTCTAGTTCTAGATTAGGTACTTTAACTAATGGCAATTCCCTGCTCACACTCAGGACCCAGGCAGCGAGTGTCGTGGGCAGTAACCCCCAGTCGCGACTAACCCGCGCTCTCTTTTATCCACATCCCAAACCCCATATTCCTCACGCGCACTCCGGGATCTACCACTTTCCCCCTCAATCTTGTATTTACCTTCGAGACAAGTGCCACCGATTGGGCAGGAAAACTAAGGACCCACGTAGGGATGCGGATTGCAGAGTTACAATGAATGTTGTTCATTGTAACTGGGCTGTTGGTGAGCCGCGCACTCAGCCCTCTTCCCTCAGTTCCAAGCTCGGCGCTCTCACCTGGTGCCGCAGCCCGAAGCCCCGCAGGACCCCAGTGGTCCAGCCCCGCAGCGACGCCCGGAACGCGGCCGCCGCCATCTTGACCAGCCCCTTTACTGGCCCTCTGCGCGCGCAACCGGCCTGGTCCCGCCTCCTCCACCCGCCTGCGCGCACAGCCCACGAAGAAAGGACGCCTGCGCGTAGCGTAAAGGGGCGGAGCTAGAATGGTGATGAGCGGTACAAATATTAGAGGACCGCGCGGTCGCTCAGTAGTGACGTGGCACGAAGCAGGCGGTGAGGACGTGCGCGCCCTCGCTTCTTCCTCTTTCTCGACTCCATCTTCACGGTAGCGGCACCTCGGGCCGCGGCTCAGGTAAGACTTAGGCGAGGGCTTGGTAGCAGGCCGGCCGCGGGGTCTTAAGGCACCGGGAAATCAAGGGGCAGGGGCTTCTCTATGGCGGCCCGGGCTCGAGTCCCTGCCTGAGCTTCTTCGCAGGCCCGGTCTCCCCCACGTTGACACGCCGCGCGTCAGTCCCGACGCGATCGTCCTGGTCCGTTTCCCATTCCCTGACTCCCTTGTTCCTGGGACGCTTTTCCTCTTCTCACACGAGCCTTTCATTTCAGTCGCCGACATGCAGCTCTTTGTCCGCGCCCAAGAGCTACACACCCTCGAAGTAACCGGCCAGGAGACGGTCGCCCAGATCAAGGTAAGTCTGAGTGGAGCTGCTTGCACTCTACCCGTCCTCTGGTTCTCTTGGCCCTCGTACCCGCGGGAATGCACACGAATCTTGCTTCTCCTGCAGGCTCATGTAGCCTCACTGGAGGGCATCGCCCCGGAAGACCAAGTCGTGCTCCTGGCAGGCGCGCCGCTGGAGGATGAGGCTACTCTGGGCCAGTGTGGAGTGGAGGCCTTGACCACTTTGGAAGTAGCCGGCCGCATGCTTGGAGGTAAGTGGGGGAGGAGGACTTTTTGAACTGCCTTAAATGAGTGGGTGTGGGGTATATAGTCCTGGCAGCTCGGTATCATTTTTCTGGCAAGACACTGAAGTGTTTTCCACGATCTTCAGTCCAGCTAAATTTTTTCCGTTCACCTCTAAATGAACTCCAAGAGGTGTGAGAGAAGGAGCCAGACAGCAGTTCTTCTGGCAGACCTTTGTCTGGCTTCAGTTTCCCCTCTAAAATCAAGGTGTCAGATCAGATACCCAAGATGCTCTTCAAGTCTTATTGAAAGTCTAGAGCCAGAAAATGTTATTACAGGTCAAAACTCTGACTTTGTTTCACTCCAGTTTGGGCCAAACTTGTCTCAACCTGCTCCTGTTCTCCCTTCTCACCACAGGTAAAGTCCATGGTTCTCTGGCCCGTGCTGGGAAAGTAAGAGGTCAAACTCCCAAGGTGAGTGAGAAAATTTGTGGTGTTTGGACTTTGTCTTACTGTCACAGCTAATCCACGACCCTTGATGTTCCTGTTTGTCTTGTCCCTTTCTGGAGAGGAGCCTGAGGGAAGAGTGCCAGGCTTGTAAGAGGTCAACTAGGTTCTGATCAGCCCTTCTTTTTCCCAGGTGGCCAAACAGGAGAAGAAGAAGAAGAAGACAGGGCGTGCCAAGCGGCGGATGCAGTACAACCGCCGCTTTGTCAATGTTGTGCCCACCTTTGGCAAGAAGAAAGGCCCCAATGCCAACTCCTAAGTCCTATGTAATCTTTGTTTTCTCTAATAAAGCCACTTCGTCCAGACAGCTCATTGTTTCATTTTAATTTGCAGGATGTTAGGAAAAGGTATGGTTTTCAGGGGTGGTCATTTGTCCTCCAGAGGTTGGAGGCAGTAAGGGTAGAGGCCCATAATCTGGAAGGAAGAAATGGTAAACTACAGGAGAGACACAGATAACCGCCCTTAAGACAAAGAGTTGGGAAATTACCCATTCTGAATAGTTTGATTATTTCCCCCCACAATTCCTTTTTCATCTTCTAGCTAGAGAAGGTAGCAGGAATCATGATGAGGTGTTTTTTATGGAGGCAGCAAAGGGCAGTATGGAAGGTGTTTGGGTAGAAGATAAAGTCAGGAAATGTCAATCTAGTCCTTCCTTGAACTTAGAACTAGCTGTGGCCTTACTAAAGTCCAGGACACAAGAAACCTACTGTGCCTCAGTACTAGAAATCAGCAAAGTATTGCTTGATTACATTGGCACCATGGTGATGGGTGACCTTGTTTACTTCTGTTTGATTGGCCTTGCTGATTTAATCATGCTATGATTGGATAAAATGTTCCTAAACAGTTCTTTAGAGTTGATTTAAGGATCCCTCCTAGCAACTAAGGCTTCCAGCATATCTGAAACCCACTCATCATTCATCTGTTTTTGAACCTGCTGGTTCTTAATATAATATACCATGGGGGAAAGCCCTTGTGTTTAGACTGCTGAACTTGGAGTTTTGGGGTTTTTTTTCTTTTTCCCTCTTCTACTTACTGTTTGGCAGATCTTGAACTACTTTTTTTTTTTTTTTTAGAGTTGTAGTTAGACAGCATTCTTTTATGTTTACTTTTTATGTGGTCCTGAGGATCGAACCCAGTACCTCACACATGCTAGGCAACTGCTCTACCACTGAACTACAGCCCCAGCCCTTGAACTACTTATCTAGTCTCTGCATCATCTGAGAGTTGCTGTGAAGGTGAAAGGATATAAAATGCTTACGTAGCCCCTGGCTTATTGTAGGTATATAGGCTGTATAAAGAACAGCCAAGGGGCTGGGGATGTGGTTCAAGTGGTAGCGCGCTCGCCTGACATGCGTGTGGCCCGGGTTCCATCCTCAGCACCACATACAAACAAAGATGTTATGTCCGCCGAAAACTAAAAAATATTAAAATTCTCTCTCTCGATTAAAAAAATATACATATTGTGTATGGTGATTTAAAGAAAAAAGAACTGGGAATGTAGGTCAGTGGTAGGGAGTTTGGGATAATATGCTCAAGGCCCTGGGTTTGATCCCCAGCACTGGGGGAAAAAAAAAAAAAAACATAGTCCCTAACTTTTTTTTTTTTTTTTTTATATTTATTATATTTTTAGGTGTGGATGGACACAACATAATGCCTTTATTTTTATGTGGTGCTGAGGATCGAACCTGCCCGTGCTAGGAGAGCGCTCTACCACTTAGCCACAATCCCAGCCCCTGACTTTCTATTTATCAGTTTTTTTTTTATGGTTGGTAGAGGATTGAATCCAAGTTCTCAAGTCCTTGCCCTTGAATGACATACGTCCCTAGCCTACAGTTGAAATTTTTTGTGTGGGGAAATATGAGGAAACTCATTCCAAGTATTAATAGCCTCATAGAAAGACTGCTGCAATATGGGTGTGGTGTGGGGGAAGTTGTGGACAGACGTACTTAGGAGCATCCCTAAGGGAGACCACTGAGGAGAAGATGTGAGTCCTGAAATAACCCATCAAGTGTTGAGCTGGGGAGAGTTCCAGCCAAGAGGCTTCCAAGGGCAGAAGCAGAAGTGATGTCTAGAGTGAGTGCAGCAGATTCTGCAGGACCTTGTTAGCCATGGGAAAGAACTCCTTTATTATATCCACACTGCATTAATCCATGAATAGATCAATCCATTAAAGTAGAACCTTGGACTTATCCACTTCTAAAAGGTTTTGCCTCTTAATGCCTCACAAAAGGGATTACATTTAAACATAAGTTTGTTTTTGGTTTTTGTGGATTTTTTTGGTTTTGGTTTTGTTTGTTTTGGTACAAGGGAGTAAATCCAGGTGCAGTTAACCGCAGAGTCACATCCCCAGCTGTTTTTTATATTTTATTTAGAGACAGGGTCTTGCTAAATTGCTTAGGGACTTGCTAAATTGATGAAGCTAACTTTGAACTCACCATCCTCCAGCCTCAGTCTCCCAAACCGCTGGGATTATGGTTGTGGCCCACAGTGCCCGTCTCAACATGAGTTTTGATTCACACCATAGCTGGGGTTGAGTCTAAAAGCAACAGAGGGTCATGAAGAGGATTTAAGCAAGGGACTGATGTAATCTGATTTGTGATCTAAATTCTTGTGGGTTTTTCACTTTTCAGTGCTGAAAATCAAACCAGGCCTTGACTAGTCAAGGCAAATGCTTTACCACTGAGCTATATCCCCAGCCCTATAATCTATTTCTCAGGCTTTTTTTCTGGAGGAAGTTAGGAAAACAGTTAAGGCACTGTCATCCGATGAGGAGGCAGGTAGCTTAGACCATCAGTGGTGGTCCATCCAAGTCTTCAAGTCTTTGTAGGGAGATAAATGATACATATCAAGATAGATGTAAGATATTTCAGAGGCAGAAGTGACAGGATGTGGGAATGAATGTGAGAGTGATCAAAGAACCAGGATACATTTCATAGGTACCATAGATCAAGACCTCATCTTTCAGCCAGATGTGGTGGTACATATCTGTAATCCCAGCAACTGAAAAGGTTAAGGCAGGAGAATGACAAGTTTGAGGCCAGCCTCAGCAACTTGAGACTCTGTTCTCAAAATTAAAAAATGTGTGTGGTGCAGGAGGGGGGTGCTGGGGATGCAATTCAGTGGTTAAGTGCCCCTGAGTTCATTCCTCAGTATGTAAAACAAAAACACCTCATTGTTGTTGTTTGTGGTTCATCATCTCTGTTACACCAGAAGATAACTTTAGGACAGGAATATCATCTCTTTGATCCTCATTGTGTTCTTGGTCCTCAATATGGAGTCTGCATTTAACAGAATTATGTGAATGAAGATTTTATGTGTATATAAATATTGTGAGTATGTGTTTGTGTATAAAAACATAATATACATAGTGAACTACATCCCCAGCCCTTATTGTTTATTTTGGGTCCTGCTAAATTGTCCAGGCTGGTCCCTAACTTGCTATCATCCTGCCTCAGCCTCTCAAGTAGTTGGGATTACAGGCCTCACAGTGCCTGACTACTATTGGATATTTAATCAGAAAGTATTTAATGAAGGAAGAGGCAGGTTTAGGTTAGGAATTGAACAGAAG